TCAGATTTCTTAAATTTTTTGAGTTTTTAAAAATAACTAGGTTCTTTTTTTAAATGTTTACCTTGTGAGTAAAATGAACAATGAAATCGTTGGTGGCATCAACAACATGTTTTCCATCAGCACAGCTGTTTGTTGAAGTAAAAATAAGCTGAGCAATCTTATCCAGATGATTCCCATAGATTACCACTTTAAACTGCTCGTCTGGGGTTACGATGCAAACACCATGTTTGCTAAAACGGTTATACTTAGTTGCTGTTACCAATATAAATAACCAAGGTTTAAGTTAACTCACTCGTAACCAAATGGATCATCAGCTGGTAGTTCAACACGCATACCAAATATACTTGGTTGACGGACCATTGTCGTGTTCGGAGAGGCAATTGGTGGGGCTACGTTACCCTTAAATACATTTTAGGTTAAAATCCTAACAACAAGTTGAAAATGCTCAAAGGAATATCATGTTCATAGGAAGGGAAAAATAGATTCATATTAACGATGCCATCAGGAGAAACATTTATTGTGAAACATCTTAATAAAAGGAAGCACGCTTCGTGGATATTCGCGTATGCGGAAGTAGTGCAGTGCGCTGCGGTAGATCTATCCAATAAGACAACGAATTGAACTTGTTAATCAGCTTTCGCAAATAGCGGAAGAGCAGCATTTTCCATAAATAAAATTAATTGGCGAAAAAGCTAAGTAGGTTTATTTTTAGTATTTCTATTCTTTTAGATTCCCTGGCAAAAAGATACGCACACGGACGCAGCCGGAAACGCTCGCAGCTAACCCAAGCCGAAATTTTCAATGGTAGTTTCTACAGTTGTAGAAATAGCCAAGCAAAACTGAGAGTAAAATGCAGGACAGGACAAACAATGAAAATTTTTGACGAAAATTTCCCTTCAAAAACACAGTAAATATCTCGCAAAACCTTATTTGACTTCCGCAGATAAAAAACATCTGTTGGCAGCTGGCTCCAGTTCTCAGTCCCTGCTAGCAAATTTTGCAGTTGGCTCTCCACCTCCCCCTCCTCATTCCGTCCCCTATTACTTACAAAAATAATTGAGAGACGAAGTAACGATAGAGCTTTGGAATAAATTTCCAGCTCAAATTGAAACTTGTCCAAAAATGTAGCATTCTATGGAGAATAGTAACATTTGCTAGGAATGAGAGATTCAACAATAGCTAGTAAAATATTCAAAGATACTGAACTCACATCTCCGCTTTTTCACAACTATCGCAATCCCAGACAATTAATTACATGGTTCTACGAAAAAAAGATTTTTATCCCACAACACCTTCAACCTGAATAGCAACTCATTTGCCCAAGCTTTCAATCTCTTAAGAGACTCATCAAGAAAGGATTCAATTGCTAAAGTTAAGATAATGAAATGGATGGAATAAGAGTAGGTAATGAGTTAAAAGCGAGATTACTGTGGTGATTCGCATGTTGAGAAATGATGAGGTATTTATTACTGCAATTTTCATTAACGTTGAGATCCTACCGTCTTCAAAGCCTTTTGCTCGTTTCCTAACTAAAAGAAAAATTGAAATGGAAAATTGTGGATTTTCGCATATTAAAGGAATGGATAAAGAAATAAAAGAGTCGCATTGCTTGAGAGAAAAGCAGATATTCGAGGAATCTTCACCCTCATTCTTATATTTGAACCGATAACCTTAAGCAACTAGGTTTCCTTCTATTTGCATAAGAGAGCGTTAATGAATTATGGTTATTGGCAATTTGATATATTGTAAAACACGCACTGAGCATTATAAGCCACAGCAGAATTTTTTTCACCATCAAAAAAGTAGGAAATTTGGAAAAAAATAATCTAACCAGATTAGGGCAATGAAATTTGGAATTTTTAATGATTTTAACAAATGAACAGGTAGTTTACTTCGGTTATACCAAGATTAGTACAAGCAGTGTTAGCGCCAGACACTTAAATATTTACTGTCGTCAATAAGACAATAGGAAATTGGAAACTTTTGGGCTAAACGGAGAGGGCATCAGACTAAGACCGGCATGCAAACTCGAGTACATTATTTGTGAGGTATTTAGGAACTGTGTAATTAGTGATCTGTATCTCTGGGCACAATATCAAATGCCTCTAAAATCATGTCATGGCTTTTCTCTATTGATTTATTATGACTACAC